GACTCCTCAGCAGGACCTCTATGTGGACTTTCTGTGTCCATTGGCCCGGTTAAGGTGCCTGACATTCGCTTTTCGTCCTCTGAATTTCGTAAACAACAGTAATGCCACGAGAAGGTAGTGAGTAGGACTTCCCTGGCAGAGGCTATAAACGCGTGGCCATGTGAGGGCATTTCGAGAGGTAGGGCGGGCCCTCCCCACCTTCGGCCATATCAGGGCATTTGGGCACTGTTTGGAAAAGAATACTTTTGAAAAAAACAACGTTAAACACAAAAGCGAGTGGAAAAACAATAAAAAAACCCACAAACACATTAGAAACAATTACCAATCAACTCTGTTTTTAACAACATAAGAACAAAATGATTCACACCCACACACACAAAAAACAAACAAGGAAAAACGCTACGAACATGAACACTTGTCACCAGGAAAAAAAACCACATAAACAAACAATAATGCACAAACCTTTGAATAGTAAGCGTAAGTTTATGCTAACTGTAAAGCAATGGAAACATATCAGAAATATATTGGAAAGAAAAAAAATCATTATGCAATCACAGCAGAAAACCACAATCATAACGATAAGATGAATATAAAACTAGAGAGTAATGAATAAAAGTCAAGTCCAAGATGAGTTATGCCGATTAAGGTGAGTGAAGGTTGAGAACATAATCGATGCATATATGTGCCCTGGCCCTATGTTGTAGCTGACTGACTCATATCAGTCGTTCAATGGACGAGTTCAGTCGTTTGAAATGACTGATTTCGCATTTGAAATGAATTAAAATTTGTTTTTAGAGGAAAAACTGTTCTAAAATTAGAGAGTTATGTAAAATTGTCTCAACTTACTATTGAACATTTTGTCGTTATACTGCATATCTAACAGTCAGTCACAATGTAGGACCAGGCACATATATGCATCGGTCCAAGTTGCCATACCTCATTAACACAACAATATGAACACCGAATTCATAGTAGTTCATTTAGTGGTGGTAATATATAAAACAAAGATTGTATATAAGGGTATAGTATAGAAAGGAAGACAGATATGAAGCAGTTTTTAATCTCAAGGTTTAAGGGAATATAAAAAGTGTATACATCTGCGTTATTGGTTGATTCTGAGCCATATCAACCACAATCTCCAACCATTGATTACGATAGTCACACAGACTCCAACCAAGTAGTCTGCATCTACCAACATGGCTCAGACTAGACGTTAGTGATTTGAAGGACTGTTGCAACATTTTGGTTTGGCTGCCCCTAATTCTCTTACAACCATCCACAATACTAGTCAGCATGGCGTGTCGTGGTAACCAATGTTTAGGAATACGTAACACGTGGCCCAACCATCTCAGACAATGAAGATTTATAACCTCATAAACTGAATTACCATTATTCTCTAATACTCTATGTCTAACTTCACTATTACTTACCTGGTGATCCCAGCAAATACGAGCAAATTTTTTAAGACATATGTGGTCAAATACTAGTAACTTACGGGTATCTTCTAATCTTAATGACCACGTTTTGCAGCTGTAAAGTAGAACAAAGCGAACTGCTGCACAGTATACTCGTCACTTAATTAATAGACGGATATCTCACCTCCGTCATAGGTGACATAAGTTAGAAAAAGCCAAACAAGCTTTCTGAATACGTGTAGAGATGTCGTCACACATCAACCCATTAGGATTGATCAGACTTCCAAGATAAGTGAAGTTGTCGACGCGTTCGACTACTTCACTTCCTATCCTTAGTTCAAGTGTTAACGCATGTCAGTCTTGAAGCAACAATCTGCATTTAAAGGAGTCGAAACGCATCCCAAACACCTTGTTGCTCAGCGCTACCAAAAGACTCTACATTTTGTCAGCGTCTTCACCAAAAAGGACTACGTCGTCTGAGTATGCTAAGTCGATAAGCGGACCTCCTGGTAGGACATCAATTTTTGAAAACTCGGTTGGTGAGAACGTTATTTCTAGCAGTAGATTTCTGATGAAGTTAAACGAAAATGGAGATAGTGAACACCGTTGTCGGACACCATTTGAGGTTGCAAAGTCATATAAAAGTTCGCCATAAGCTCTGAATCGACTGGTAGTGTTTGAGTAAAGAGCCTTCACAAGATTTATGTACTTCTAAGGTACTTCTTTCAATGACAGACACTGCCACAAAACCTGTGAGTGTTAGAATGGATTTGTTGATGAGTGATGTTAAATATGCAGATAAATAAGTGGTAAAATAGTGGAGAGAAATACAAAACAATTTCAATGCTAATTTTCATTTGTCTATTGCAAAATTGTATCATCTGTACTTATCGATAAGTTAAACAACCAGCATGCTGCTAAACAGTCTGTTTCGTTTTATTTCATGATAATGACATATGGGTGCTTAGCGGTAGATAACATGAATAAGTTAATAGCATTTGATGTATGTATTTTTAAAGCACTGTTAGAGTATGACCAAAAAAATCGAGAGAGCAATACGGAGACATGGGATCCAATATCCTGGACCAATCGTTGGTCACCGGCTACCATGGGACTGCATCTCCTTACGATGCTCCACTGTTTTGTGGATCAGATCTTTAGGTCAAAGGCTCCGAGTGTGTTCCCCTAAGAAAACCACCTGCTTCGGTCTGGACACCTGGGCAGTATCACAACACTCACGCAAATCGAATGAGATTTGTGCGGCGCATATGTATCTGGTGCTTCCAATAAGGAGGCTGTTAGTTTCAACTCCTTACTTTGATTTCATGTGGTCACTTGTACTAATGTAGATCTTTGCTAGGTTATAGGTTGATTATTATTATTATTATTGACTGACACATATAATTCCAAAGTAAAATATCAAAACCTTAGGTAGTTGAATCGATAGTAGCATATATTTAATATAACGGTAGAATAAAACTTGTTTTCTTATTTTCACAACATACCACTGTAATAAAACCGGTGTACAAGATTATACTAACACTAGACTGAATGCTCAATCAGCACACTATAAATAAACTGAACCATGCTATACCAGATATAAGATCCACTACCAAAAATGGTGAACTAGAGTATAGCCTTGTTAGAACTTGTGACCTTTGTGCACTGTTAATATATCACGCGATATAATTGTCAATTAGAATCACCGACTTATTCACCCGACCAATGATGCATAAACCAGTACGAGCAGCCTACAGTTCTTTTTGGTCCTTGAGATAGCAATTTCTCATCTAACCCAGCCGATTCTGTCCAACACGCCAATATGAACCTCCGTTATATCGAATCATATAATTCAAAGATGCTTAGTTTATATACACGCAACATCAGACCATATCACACTATATAATAGAAGATAACATTTGTACAAGATAAAGCCAAAAGTGGCCGTGATTGTGACTAATAAGACTAGACATTATGCAACACAACTAAAAGCAGCCAACACTTAATGAGTTCAGAGTAGAAATCAGTAATAGAAAAGAAATCACATATTAAATCGTTAATGTCTCTCAGTTCACATTCAATGGGCAGCCATATATTACCTTAACTACTACATATAAATATTATAAACCATGGTTATGATAAGCAAAGATGAATAGTGGCTGGCAGTGGAATCCAGGACAAAGCGCGTTTCGTCCTCAGTGGCCGAGTGGATAACACGATGGTGTTTGCAGTGAAAGGTATTAGGTTCGAGTCCCAGAGTAAACATCAACTCTGAGATGCAAGTACATCCAGCTGGTAAGTCCCAAATAGGACGAAACGCGCGTCCTCGATTCCACTGCTAGCCACTATCCATCTTTACTTACGATGCTTGTGAATTAAGTCTATATCGAAGCAATACGCACAGTATGCACATATGCCAATTAGATCTGATCATTAATTATATGTAACAGATTTATAATAGGTGCATAGATTCAAGCCTGAAACTGTATGCTCTAAAATTGATTAACTTTACAATTACTCTCATTTGGTATAAAAGATAGACAAAACATATTCAATTTAGATAGAATAATACATACTATAAATATTAGAAGATACATAGCAATTTTAAGCCTCAATAGATCTAGGAGTGAATATACGATGACCAAGTAGTGCATTTGAAGAAACTCTGGAAAATGTAGAAACATTTGTGTACCTGAGGAGCATCATTGATAAACAAGGAGGATCTGATGAAGATGTTAAGACGAGCATTGACAAAGCAAGGGCAACATTTCTACAATTGAAGAACATATGGAACTGAAAAAAACTGTCAACTAACTTCAAAGTGAGAATACTCAATACGAACGTCAAAGCAGTCCTACTGTATGAAGCTGAAACGTGGAAAACTACTACACCCATAGTCAAGAAGATACAAGTATTTCTAAACAGTTATTTACGCAAAATACTCAACATTCACTGACCGGATACTATCATCAACAGCGTTTTATGGGAGAGGACAAACCAGCTTCTAGCTGAAGAGAAAATTAGGAAAACACGTTGGAAGTGGTTAAGATATACATTAAGAAAATCACCAAACTGCATCACGAGGCAATCACTAACTTGGAATCCGGAAGGGAAACGGAAAACAGGAAGACCAAAGAACAAATTACGCCGAGAAATAGAAGCAGATATGAAAAGGATGAATGCTAACTGGAAAGGATTGCCCATGACAGGATTAGATGAAGAATACTGGTATGCGGCCTATGCTCCTCGACGAGGGGTAACAGACGTAAGTTATTAAAGTAATTAGTGCATTAAAATACTGAGTTTTATATTAAAATTATGAATCAAAATAACATGCATGATAAGCTAAGTAAGAAATGATTGAAAGCAAATGAATCATGTTACTTATAATGATGATATGAAAAATAGGTTTTTTTTAGAAAAACAAGATGACAACCATAATGTTTTCCAGCAACCCCCCCCCCAAAAAAAATTGATTTTTTCTTTCGAACATTATAAATCAAATAAAGTAATAAAGCTTTATTCAATTAGAAAGGAATGATGGAATGATCAAGATGAGGAATCAATCTTATTTTTTTTACTTACTTAATTTGCACATCGAATTAAACAAACCGATGAAGGAAAAGCTGGACTATAAATAGTATATATGTATATTATTTATAGTAATAATAGAATAAAAGATAAGCACATACACATATAATTGAAATCATAAGTCAATTGAAGCTAAACAACCATGGAAAACCTGGAAATACTGCTTCGCGGCTGTTTCGTCCTATTATGGGACTCCTCAGTGGCAGTGAGCATCCACGATCCCGTACTTGCGAGATTCGAAACCAGAATCTACTAGTCTACACACACATAACAATGAAAATTAATATAGAGAGTACTTATTGTACACTAATCATTCAATTTCATGTTTACCTAACACTTAAGACAAGTGAGAAATCAATATCGGTAGAAGGTTTATTTTAATTATGTTCCAACAATGTTAAGGGATACTATCCCTCCCAAACAACTTAGGGTCTGAAAAGTTGGAAAAAATGAAAATTTCGCAAATGCGATAAAAATGATCTTGGTGGTCTTGTACTAGTATTCCGACAAGAGACAATGTAGTTTAAGCGTTCTTTATGCCCTGAAGCGTTAGCTTCAGGATGGGCTATTCCGTTTGCTACCCTACTTTTGTGTTGTATGCAGTATAAGCTATATGGCCATGTAGAACTCATATGTGGCTGGAGGTTCGCCATTGACATTATGGATGGTTCGGCATTATTGTAACAAATTTTGCTGATCGTTCATTCGCGAAATTGGTTTACTGGTTAACCGATTTCATTCATACTGGTAGTTGCATTTCAGTGTTCTCGAGGGTCATTATCATTGAAACATTGTACGGCATATCGCCATTGCTAACATTAATGATTTTGACTGTCGTGTAAGCGGAATAGGTCAACTTTGGTCTGTTCATGATGTTCACAATTGATTTACGCGATCATTAATCGGAATAATTATATATGTGATGTGAATGTGTATATGAATGGTGCGAATGGTCCACCAGGGTGCTTGGTACCTGACCTGTGTGGTTGCTCTACAAGATTGAGCTTTACTATTCAGAATGTAATAATGAAACCTATATGGTGTTTAGCCCTCCTGTGGGGCGGGATTGAGCTGTACTGCTCAGGTTAAGCCTGTCTGGCTCTCCTGTTAAACGGAATTGAGCTGTACTGTTCGGATTGTCATGTGAAAGTCTGGATGATGTCTGTTTCTCCAGAAAACTAATGCAAAGTCACCTTGTCCCATAAGGGTATATTATATAACTGTGAATAATAACTGTAACAATGTCAGTGTAAAATATGTAGATAAACACAGTAGACAAAATAGTCAATAAGACTAGGAGTTTCCAGGAAAAATTGACTATTATAGAAAACGTCTGATTTAGTGTAAGAGTTCTGGGGAATATTCCTATATTACAACAACACATAATGGTTAGCATTTCGTGATTATGGGTACAGCGCGTGTGTGTGTGATTTTCTTTAAGTGTTGAACAAATTGTTCTTGATAATAATTTACAAATTAGAAGACAAACGTTTACTAAAATGCAGTTACTTATTATGTTTGTAATAAAATAACTTATATTGTGGGGTTGTTTGAGTACTACGTAGGAGTACTGCATAGACAAAACAGACACTCAATGCTCTCTGAGTCTTCGACAGCATCAAAAATGATGCCAATTTGTGATGATTACTATCTACAGATTAAACCAATCTTCACCCTATCAAATATATAGATATTGAAAACTGATGACGAGGTGAAATCACCCTTCTTCACAAGAATGTAACAATTGGCGCGTTCTTTATGATGACTTAGACAAAAGACAATCGAAAAGAAAACTAGTTGAAATCCAGGATTTCAATGAAAGAACAATTTACTTTTTTCACAGTTGAAATCATGAGTCAATTGAAGCTAGACCACCATCGAAAACCTGGAAGCACTGGACGGCCGTTTTGTCCTAATATGGGACTCCTTAGCAGTGCGCATCCACGATCCCGCGCCCGCGAGATTCGAACCCAGAACCTACCAGTCTCGAGCCGAAGACCTTAACCGATAGACCACTGAGCCGGCATCCAATGGTGTTAATGTCTAACTTCAACCAATCCACGATTTTGAGCGACCGTTCACCAATTGTCTTCAGTGAGATGATATCCCTACAACAAACCTGGTAGAATTTACTTTTTCCCAGTGTAACTCTATTATAAGATGGCTTACAGAAATTCGGAATTCCAAACGATTAGAAGATTATTTTTGTATGAAACATGATCTACACGTATTATACAGACTAGACAAATAATTCATAGCAATTCAACAATAATCCTCCATGCAATAAAGCACAAGTCAGGTACTCCATAAACACCTGATATTTAAAGAAGTAGAAATAGTAATTGAACAAATCTGTCTATAGAGTCACAACTATGATTATAGGACACAATAGAAATAGCCAAACGAAAAGGAAAGTCAATGAATAGATAACAATGGAGGTCAATAGGATGATATAAATTTAGAGAAAAGTTACTGAAGTATTTCTCACACATTCGAACTACTTGTCATTAAAAAAAGTTAAAAGAAACCGGGTAATTTAAAGACTATTTTAGCAGTAACAGAGAGTTGATATAGTGGTTCATCTGTGGATAACACTGAACTTATTCATATACATTTATTTATTGAAACACATTAATATTGGTACAAAGGGGTACCAGATATATATGCTCCATACAAATTTCATTGGATTTTTGTGAAGGCTGTTATACTGCTCAGGTGCCCAAACCAAAACAGGTGGTTTTCTTAAAGGGGCCACACCCGTATCCTTTGACCTAAAGATCTGATCCACAAGGCAGTGGAGTATCGTAAGGAGATGCAGTCCTATGGTATCCGGTGACCAATAATTGATGTAAAATTATATGGACTTTTATATGATCATAGATGACAATCTGATGTATTATATAATATAGAATTTTAAATGAAAAGAAAACAATAACACAATTCAAAAAGTCATACATATCTTTTCACTTACCGTTTACCATACAAAAAATGCACTACAAGGAATGCTATACCAAGACATATATGTATAGAACCAGTAATTAGACATAGGATTCCAAGTGTTGGATTTTTTCCACCTAACCAACTAGCATTGGCTAATATGAATTTTTTCCTACCACCAAACGAAGTAACTGGATAGACTGGATAAAGGGAAAAAAAAAGTGAGGATACCAATGAATGACATTGTTAAATATTAATAATCGTAATGATAACATGAAAATTATAAGGTTTGGAACATTTTGAATTCACTTGGTATTATTTGTCTGAATCTTCCCATTAAGGACTGCAATTATTCAGTCTCTTATTGGCATATGTGCATACTGTGCGTATTGCCTCGATATAGCCTTAATTCACAAGCATTATAAGCAAAGATGGGCAGAATTCAGTAGCTGAGTGGATAACCGCGATGGTGTTTGAATCGAAAGGTACTGGGTTCAAGTCCCAGAGTAAACATCAACTCTGAGATGCAGGTACATCCAGCCAACGAGTCCCAAGCAGGATGAAACGCTCGTCAAACTGGATTCCACTGCTAGTCACTATTCATCTTTGCTTAAAACATAATCCTTTTATATTTCAGGATCTGCGTCACAAGGCAAACCCTCACATGGAATCCTGAGGCCAAAGGAAAAGAGGAAGACCAAAGAACACATTACTCCGAGAAATGGAGACAGACATGAGAAGAATGAACAAAAATTGGATAGAACTAGAAAGGAAGGCCTAGGACAGAGTAGGTTGAAGAATGCTGGTCGACGGCCTATGCTCGATTGAGATATACGGGCGTAAGTAAGTAAGTAAGTGATATTTCAGGATATATTCACTTGAATTGTAATACTAGACATCATACAGTAAATAACTCAATGGGAATTTTCAATTCCAACACTATAGAGTTTTAATTCTAAGCAACATCATTAGAAGCACAAACCTCAGACAGAAGTGAGAAGTGACTAGCAGCTTGTCCTATCAATGTTATAATTAACAGGTTGTTATCATAGTCTGCACAGTTAGAAAAACTATAAAAATCTGTAAGGTCAAGAATCAGATCAAAGCGTGAGACGATCAGGATAAATATGCAGACAACAACAAGTATCAGCAACAACGAACCAACTTTGACATGGACAGAACAAGATGCTAGTCATTCATAACGAAATTCCCATACCTCGCTTCTGTTTGAGGTTTGTGCTTTTAATGATGCTTCATGGAAAGACAAAGAAAGCTCCACAATTAAATCATTTAGATCAGAAAACATAATTTCAGTAAAATCGTCCTGTTGAGTTACAAGTCTTTTCTATTACCTCATAACTGAAACTCATTCCAATCAATAGAGATCATTGAAATTGGGAACTAATATTGTTAACTATTCAGTGAAACAGTGGAGTAGTGGTTTAGGGGATCGACCTTCAAGAAACAAGCCCCAGGTTCGAACTACGCCCGATCTAATTAAGGTATGGACAACCGGGTAGTATCGTTAGCCCTCGCACTTAGAATATGACCCACAACAAAGTACCTAGTGAATAGATTAGTTAATCATTCAAAAAAATAAGAGACATAAATTACGTGGACAAAATATGTGAACAGCAAGGGAACTTGAATAATGACTTAAAACCATTTCGCTTTTGCGTGAATGTGTGTCTTTAGTTGAAGCATTCAATAACGTTTGAAACATTTCCCACAGTTCACACTGATTTTTTTGGAAGTAAATATTTGAAGGATTCCTATGAAACATAGAACAGGAGAAAATCCGATTGGGAAGTCGAATGAGATTTTTGCGGCGCATATGTATCTGGTGCTTCCTTGTATCAATATTTATGTGTTTAAACAAATAAATAAATACTGAAGAGTCCCTTAGTAAGGTGAAACCACTCCCTGGTCCATAATGTTTGTCTAACTACAGTCCGTGATGAAAACTATAGAGACAAGTTAGTTAACTCTCTAGACTTATGTTTCATTCACAACTAATACTGAAAAGAATCCTTTGTTAAAATCAAAACTAAGCCACTGAACAACTGTTATGTAATATGATACTGTCTAGTAGTCCATACTACATTTAAATAAATAGTAGTTGTGTACTTATTACTCTGATCATCTTGAAAGTAGAAGGCAAATGAGCTGATTTATGTCTGGAGAGTAGTGGATACCTACTACAAAACAAAAAGATGGAACAATTGTTAAACATTTGGTCTTTACTAGTTATAAACATGTCAATTCGTGAAGTTCACCTAAAGAGAATTAGACACGATCGAGAGTAAATTTCAATAAACAAAATAAAAAAAGTACTCACAGTAGTTAATAACAATTTCATATGTTCCTGAGGGTAGACCATTTGCAAAATCATCTTTCTGAACTACAATAGCGTTTAATTTACGAAAATTTGGCAAAGCAGCTATTCTCATCCATACTATTAGAGCTTCATCAGTTTTAAATGGATTTGAAGATCTTGCTTGAATTGGTTGAGGCCAATTTGGTGGCTTGATTGTATTATTGAGAGCTATGAATAATCAAATTTATTACAACAAAAGATCACCAAACTGATTGAGATCATTCAATAAGTTTTAATGTAAGAAACTAAATACTATAACATGACCAACATGAGTACGAGTTAATTGTTCATTTGAAAGTGACCAAGAATTCAATTCAGTTTATCTAGGAAACTTAGACCCATGAACAAATTTACTGAACCCGATCACTTTTAAGGGAACTATAGATCCGTGTTCATGTTGATTTTACTAGACGTTTCACAATATACAGTTCTTCATATGTTATTGCTAATTCCAGATGACAGAAGAGAATTCATACGAACAGCATTGTCTCAAATGTCACACGATCTCGTTATACTTTAATATATACCTTTTCATTCTGTTTTCACAAACCATATAACCAAGACTGAGTCTCTTTTTATCCTTACTACTACATTATTACGATCTCTTGTGTTATGTACATTTCGTCGTGATGATATAGTATGATAAATTGAGGAGACACACATTTGTCCTAGGCTCTATGATGATGATGATGTCGGTCTGTCTATACTGCTAACCTTTTCATTTAAACCTAACACCTTATCTGGAACATTACATCAAGCATACTCAAGTAAGTTGGCCTAAGAAGTGTGATGATCCAGGTTATATAAATTCCGGAAATTGTTCAATCCTAGACTTATTTCAAAACTTTTTATGAACGTTAATGCTTTCTTAGACAAGTCAGTTATTTGATGCCTAAAGAACAAGGATTCAAAGGAGGATAAAACGTACGATACCACAAGTGTCCTGGTAGTCGATATCTTTTAGTTAGTTATGTGACGATGACTATCTACTTACGGAACGCTAACCAAATCCCAGAACTTAATTATACTTATGTGGCAGAAGTCTGGTTACATTTGTATTTTACATAAACATTTTTACACAGTACTATTAAATTAAAAAAAAAAGAGGTTGTTAAATTAGGTTACTGCTTATCCCAGTGACGTAATGTTCTGAGAGTAAACTTTTCACAAACTGATCATCATATAACAGAAAAACAATATCAGCAGATGAGTAAATATGGAAAAGATTCATCCACGTTACAGACTAACTTCCATCCTCCATATTTCGTCTAAACTCTACGTGATTTCCTACGAAACTAGTTTGGAACAGCTGCCACCAAATGCCCTGTTACGGACAAGAGTGGTGAGAGTACGCTCTCCACATCGAAATGCTCTCACATGGCCATGAGCATATAACCATTTCAAGCAGTCATACTCAACTGCAGGCATTACTGTTGTTTACGAAATTGAGAGGATTAAAAGTGAATATCCGGCGCTCTAACCAGGGTTCACCTAGAGGAGTTAGAAAACCCTCACTCCAAACCAGTGATGCACATGGGCTCAAGGATCCTGAGGGAACAAATGGCGTATGAACTTACTGGTGGTCATCGGCTATTATAGGACTTAATCTCCTAACGTTGCTCCACTGTCTTGTGGATCAGATCTTCAGGTCAAAGACTTCGGGTTTGGCCCCCTAAGATAACCACCTGCTTCGTTTCGGGCACCTTGGCAGTATCACAGTCCTCACACAAATCAAATGAGATTTGTGTGGCGCATATGTATCTGGTGCCCCTTTGTACCAATATTCATGTGTTTAAATAAATAAACAAATAAATATAAGTCTGAAAAGCTACATGCGTTTACCGACCATATCAGTGTTATAAGTTATGGTTTAGAAATGTAGACTAGTTCAAGATAATGAATATGAAAAAAATAGATATTTTTTCACTAACCGTTTGCATTTAAGGTCCCGAATTTGCGATCAACATCGGAAGGCCATGCTATACCTTTTGTTGTAGTTGTGACATCAACTTTGGTATTATCATTCCGTATATATGTCAGGATAAATGTGTCATTAAATATACTGTTTGCAATTGCACCACACGGAAGTATCGGTTTACCGTCAATCGACACATATGGGTTACACGAAGATAGCGAACTTGGGTCTTGATAAATACCAAGCAACTGATCATCATTTTTAGATCGTGCATATCGTCGATGATTTTGATAAAAGTTGCTTAAACCATAATATAAATAAACGGGTCCAGGAATGGACGATTCAACAGTAATATGTTTGACACAAACACATGGTTTCCCCGAGGCAATTACTTGAGAGCATAACTCTTCAGTACCATTCCTAGTACAATCTGTATAGTCCACAAGATATTCTACAACACTATTTGACGTCGTTAGTAATACAATACCGATGGGTATCAGTACAATTCCGAAAACTGTGAATGCTATTCCAGACTTTTTAGCAGTAAACATTGGTTGCCATGCTGGAAGCTTTTGTTGAAAAAAAGCAGAATTCCTAGGTTTTCGTGATTTCGAAGGAGTTTCTAACAGTTGTGCACTCATAGTTCGAAAGTATCTACAATAATAAGAGTTAGTTTTGTAATGAATACTTAAAATCGACTTATGAATACAGATAAGCTAATGTTATCTATAAAACTGTTTAAAAAGTCATCCACAAAGACTATCAGTTGTGAATTAGGGCTAACATATCAACAATGGGGAAAATAATAGATAAGTTTGTCTTGCAGAAGTCAGAAATTGGACATCGAAACTAAACAAATGGTTTTTTGAATATACTCACTAAAAAGTTCTAGTTATAACCCACTATGTTTGATTTGACAGATTTTGACAGCTTACTTTATTTATTACACGTATAGTTTGGTATAACTGTGCCCCAGGAAAACTATTGTGAAATAAAAGGAAGGTGAGTGAAATTTAAAAAAAAAGAATAAATGGACAAGAATAGTATATAATAGAAGAGACAGTTCAGTTGAAAATACAACTGAGGGCCTATTTCGGTTAAGAGAATTACTTTCACCTTTATGAAGGATGTAGTGGAAAACTACAGCAGTACAGCCACAGTGCTTTGATTTGATTCATATCTGATAACGTTCCAACCTACCAAGTTGCTTGGACCCCAACCAGGTAGTTGTGATGAACCTACGGATATCAGTCTTGTACAGATTTCTTTTACACTCCAGTATAATCTCTTAAACTTTTTACAAGCCCCAGCCTCAGGAAATAAGGCACGATGTGGAAGTCACTGGAGTGACACTCACAGTACACATCCAAATCACTGGAGTCAGCGTTCCAAAATATTGACGTCAACCGTATTATGACCACTGTCCCGAACAAACATCGCCGAACCTCCACACTACTAATATGACGTTGTCAGTGAATGTTAACGATCCTTTAGAGGCAATGATGATCTAATACAGACAGTCACCTAATAACGTCGATTTGGAGAAGTCACGATTTACGAGCATACAGCATGACTGCTCTCACCCTACCTTCTACAGACAGACAAATATTATGACAGAACAACAGAAAGGGCAAATCGGCACAGGACACTCAGGCTTTCATTAAACTTAAATTGACAACCAGTTCAGGATTTAATATACCTAAAAATGAATTGAATAAGTCCCCACACCATCGCCATTTGTTCCTTCAGGATACTGGAGCCGATGTGTACCACTGGTTTGGGATCAGGGTTTTCCAACTTCTCTAGGTGGACACTCCACATCCACCAACCCGGTCAAAGCGCCGGACATTCGCTTTTCGTCCTTTCACTTTCGTAAACAACACCCCCTTTTAAGAGAAGGCAGTGAGTAGGACTTCCCTGGCAGAGGCTATATATTTGCTGGCCATATGAGAGCATTTCGAGAGGGAGAGGTGACTCTCTCTACTCTCGGCCGTACCAGGGCATTTGGGGGCATATCATTGGTTAATTCGCACTCATCGATCGAGTTTAACAACTAACGCTTGCACGATTAGCTAGATAAACGAACTTTTCGACTACTTCTAACGGCTCACCCCCAAACAGTAAATGCAGGGACACATGCCTATCGGTCTTGTAAAAGTGCTCTGCACTTAAGTGCAAAGTGTTATCTCTTAAATACGAATGGAAAAGAGGACAACGCTGAAGAAAACCACCTGAATTAGCCAGTTCCGGTGACAGTTCACCATAAGCTTTGACTCCATCAGTCATGTTCGAGCGGAGAACCTGTAGAACACTCAAGTACTCCTTTGGTACGCCTTTCAATGACAGACACTGCAACAGAACTTCATAATCAACGGGGTCGTTCTCCGCCGATAAGTACGTTTGGTTCCCACGCCAACTACTTTTTTTTAATCTTGAGACATGTTTAAGTTGGTGTTTTATAAACAAGATTTGTCAATCCCACTCTACATTAAGAAACCCAGTTCAAGGGGCAGGCAGCTGTGGACATCTCAATTTCATAAACATTTTCACACCAGGTGAAGGCAGAATAGAGCTTTCTGAAGTAGTTATAAACGCACAGCTATACGAGAGCATTTCAAGAGGAAAAAAAGACCATGTCTGGTATCGACCATAATAGGGTGATTAAGGGAAAAGGATAGTAACATTAATAATTTGCCCCTTAACTTTTACGATAGCTCGGCAAAATTAACCGAATCCCACAGATCAAAACTGTTTTCTTTTGAGTTAACTCAATACTGAACACTAGTGGAGCTTTCTTGTTTAATATTTACTTATGTCTAAGCAAGCCATCTGTAAGCTTTCAGAAAATTTGTCATGAGCCTAAGAAATAAACTGCGTTAATGTTATTAATCCTATCCATATACGAGCGTAAGAACAATTTCAAGAGGATGGACTACGAGAAAGTTGTTTTAGTTTTTGGTGCTGGGCTATACATGGTTTGAAACTGCAACGCAGAAAATAGAAATTGCCCAGATCAACATCCTCATACCTTTTAAGAGATACTAAAGAGATGTTGGTTTTCTGTAGCAAAAACCTATTACTGCTGTACTCAGATTTGTCTTCTAGCTTGTGGGAAGACTAAGCACAAACTAACTTTTAATATAATGGATTAGGCATTATCAATAATCTTTCTTAGGCGCGTATATATTTGTTCTTACGACGTAACAAGAGTGAAATTATCTTAACGATGTAAATTTTACTTATTTGCATAATGATGTCTTTATACTGAGGTTGAGGTTTTTAGATTGTACTGAGAACACCATAATATAAAATCTTTGACAAGTATTTCATCGAAATATGAGCATTTAATCGTGAAAACAACTAGGAACAATGTGGAAGCTTTATTTGAACAGATTATAGGAAGTTGGTATTCTTATTTATTTATTTAAACATAAATATTGGTACAAGGAAGCACCAGATACATATGCGCCACACAAATCTCATTCGATTTGTGTGAGGGCTGTGATGTTGCCCGAGTACCCAAACCGAAACAGGTGGTTTTCTTAGGGGGCCACTACCTGAGCCTTAGACCTAGATGTTTTATCCACGAGACAGTGGGGCAACGTGAAATGAATTCCTATGGTAGCTGGTGACCACCAGTAAGTTCCTAGCGCACATGTGCATCATTGGTTTGGAAGCAAGGTTTTCCAACTCCTCTATGTGAAACCTCCGTGTCCACCAACCTGGTTAAAGCGCCGGATATTCACTTTTCGTCTTCTTAATTTAATAAACAAAAGTAACGCAACGAAAATGAAGTGAGTAGGACTTCCCTGACAAAGGCTTTATGGGTGTGGCCATGTGAGAGCATTTCGAGGTGGGAAGCGGATTCTCCGCACACGACCGTACCAGGGCATTTGAGGCAATCCGCACTTTTTGCGAGTTTGTATCTATTTGTTTTCTCGATTGACGAGGAGCCACCTGCAGAAGGCGTTACTAGACTAACAATTATGTAAAATCTGACATTTTGGAATGACTCTTCATTTCCGTAAGCTATCTAATCATAAAAGCTATTTCCTGATTGGTTAGAAAACGGCAGAAAATTTGTAGCACTTGCTTAGGGCTTGTCTCTCGACAATGTTTTCGTCGGAAACGTCTTTGGTATGAACGTTCTAATAAGGGACATTTATGTTTAGTGAAACCATACCAGTGAAAAAAGTCATTTTTGTGTACAGATACTATCGTCCATGACGTTAAATAATAATCGTTTCGTAAGACTGAAGGACTTTGTAAAAATCTGGTAGTCAAATATAAGCCTATAATATATTTATAAGGAAACCTATAAGCATTGTGTGCTAAACTTTCCCCGTGGTTAACCCTAAAGGACTGTTGACAGCACAGCAACTGCTTAACGCTTAAAAGATTATTTTAAGTGAGGTTCAAATGGTTCAAATGGTTGAGGACGGAATAGAAGAAGCTTTCGCTTAACGGGCTTCCGTGTCTGGTAGCAGTGGATCACCAATACCTCCAGGCAAAAACCTAGGTATATGAACGATAATAGAGGGAAAAAAAAGAATTTGGTAAATCATAATAATATGTTATCCTTAGTCCTTAAGAATAAGTCAAGTTTTCTCTTAAAGGACTCCTGGGAGGTCGCTTGGACTAGCTCAGTCGGCAGTGAGATATGAGTTAATCAGAAAGTGCACAGAAAATTAATAAAGAGAGCAATTGGTAACAATCAGAAGTAACATAAATGTGAGATTAAAACCACATATCAATTGATACGAGACTTACACAAGTCAGCCTGGAGTTGAAACTACCGCAATTGCGTTTCAGCAACCTTGATCGACTTCAGCCTTCAGTCTTCAATAATAAGGATATTAGGTTGATGAACCTGTGTTAATCCTGACAGATTTCCTTCCAGTGAAGGTCCAGCTTCTTTTTGAAAATGTTCACTGATGGTGTTGATACCACTTGTTCTGGTAAAGCGTTCCAGTCATTGACCACTCGATGAGAAAAACGGGACCCCACCTTTAGTTTATTAGATCGCGGTTTCAGAACCTTCTTGCTATGACCCTGGAGATTATTCGTGCTGGAGGGAGCAAAAAGATAAGACATATTAACACCCAGATCATAATTAAAGATACGAAATGCCAGTATAAGGTCACCTCGCGTCCTACGATAAGATAAGGGGAAAAGATTTGGACGTTTTAAACGCTCATCGTAAGGGAGTTTAGAAAGACCCTTTACTAATTTTGTCCCTACACGCTGAAGCGATTTAGTATCCTTTATCAGACAAGGGCTAGCTGCTTGGATACAGTATTCTAAGTGTGGCCTTACATATGTGGGATATAAAATTCGAAACATATCCTCGTCAAAGCATTTAAATGCTCTGCGAAGCGACCATAGCCGCGATAGCCTTTGGAATCAACCGCATTGTAGTGCGTAGTAGTTTTTAAGTCTTGAATTATAATTACTCCTAAGTCTTTGTGCTCATGAACGCGTGGCAGAGATGTACCATTAATGGTATAATGGTAACTAATATCGTGCCCGATGTGCATGAACACGCTTTTCCTGGAATTAACTTCCAGGCCCCAATCATGAGCCCACCTAACTAATTCGTCCAAATCTGCTTGCAGATAATGATCAGTCTCATTTCTTATTG